ACAAATTCAATTTGCCGTCAGCATTCCATGTTCCGAAGACCGCTAAGTATTAACAGTATATTGGGTATTAGGCGACATGCCCAGTATGTTAACGTACTTCCGAAAACGAGGTAACAACAAAATTGGTCGAAAAGACTGCTGATATCATAGAAGTTGTACTGTTGATGCATTCTGCTAATTCGTTTATAACCCTTTTTTCAGATAACATTGTGCTAACTTAGAACACACCCATCCTCCTTAGCCACAGCTAAGAACTCACATTAAACTGCCACTCGCTCTTCAAAAATACTTCGCAGTTTAACGGAAAGGAAGATAAGTCAGTAGTTTGACTTCAAAAGCAATTTTATTAGAGCCGAAATTGCTCTCAGATAGCAGCTTGAGATTTCTGCAGTGCAAACATTGTTGCTGGAAGAAGCGATGCCATGTCAGTTAAGATGCCAAGAATTTTGTATAGTGCACTAGGAGGTATCTTCTTTTCTTTCTCTCAGTAGGCATGGTTCGCGACGAACAGCGATTGACCGCCAGCGGCGGTCTCCAAGGTACCCTCAAATTTACCCAGGGCAGCCATGCCGTTGGCCTGGAAAAGAAAGCAAACGTGTTGCAATAAATTACACCATTCAATCATGAATTAAGTTTCAGAAGAAGAGATTGTTGTAAACCAACCTTTGCTAACTTGAGAAGTTCGTTCTGTGCTGCTTGTGTGTTCTCATTCTTACCCTGCCAGATCTTAATAACAGAGGCTTGGAGAGCCCTTCCGAAACTGAATGTTAAAGCCCAGGGTTTTCTGCCTGGCAGGGCGTTGATGGCATTGAGATTGTAAGTAGCATCGGCCTCGGACATACCTCCCGACAAGAAAACAATCCCTTAGTAAAGAGTGTGCTTGATTTAAAAGCATAAGCTTACCGGGAACTGCAGCCGGAACACTCCTTTGAAGGCACTGAACCGTGGCCGTGGCATTCTGCTCCTTCGAAAACTTTTGGGAACAGGAATGACCAGCGGTCACCATGTTGGGTTTGAGGAGGGTTCCCTCAAGGTAGACGTGATGGTCTGCCAACGCCTTGTACTGAAAAGCTAAAACCTCCTCGGTGACGCGCTGCGCAACATAAAGATCGTGGGATCCATCCGGAAGAACTTCGGGTTCCACAATTGGCACAATTCCGTTCTGCAGGACACATTTTTTAGGGATGAAGTCCACATACCTGCTGACAGATGACGGCATACCGTGCCAAAACATTCGCATTCTCCATCATTGCCTGAAATGTCGGTGTCTTGTCCGAAATTTTTAAAACACAGCGCCATTTGGCGAAGTGGCAACCATCTTTCTTATATTGTGCGCACCTTTCACTCAGACCATCCAAGCCCTGAGTTGTTCCTTCAGAAAATGTGCCCGCCAATGGAACAACGCCCTTGTCAACTTTGATGCCGGGAATAATGCCGCGATCCTAATGTAGTCCAGATCATAGGAAAGAGATGATCCTACGTGAAGTAGCTTAATTAAGGGTGTGCCATCCTCCGTCTTCTGATAGACTGTGTCGTGGAAAAGAATCACGCCAGAAATATGCTTCGCCAAACATGGGTCCGTACTAAAGAGGAGCTGTCGATATCTTCGTCGATTATCCTCATTGTTTTCAATGCCAA